TTTAGAAAAATTGAAAACATATCAAGCATCTATTCTTTTTTACTATTTTATTTATTTATTTATTTGGCTGCATCAGGTCTTAGTTGCAGCATGCAGGATCTTTGTTGTGACATATGGGATCTTTAGTTGTGGTGTGCGGTCTCTTTGTTGCAGCACACAGACTTCTCTATTTGCAGCATGTGGGTTTCTCTCTAGCTGTGGCTTACGGGCTCCAGAGTATGTGGGCTCAGTACTTGTGGCATGGGGGCTTAGTTGCCCTGCAGCATGTGGGATATAAGTTCCCCAACCAGGGATTAAACCTGTGTCCCTGCATTGGAAGGTGAATTCTTAATCATTGGACCACCAGGGAAGTTTCCAAGCATCTACTCTGACCACAATGGTATGAGACTAGAAATCAACTACAAGAAAAAAACTGCAAAAACACAAACACATGGAGTCTAAACAATATGCTAGAAAACAACCAATGGGTCACTGAAGAAATCAAAGAGAAAATAAAAAATACCTGGAGAGAAATTGAAAGTGGATCCAAAATCTATGGTGTGCAGCAAAAACATTTACAAGAGGGAAGTTTATACAAGTGTATATCAGGAAACAAGAAAAATCTTGAACAAATAATTTAACCTTAAACCTAAAGGAACTAGAAAAAGAAACAAAATCCAAAGTAGTGGAAGGAAAAAAATAAAAAATATCAGAACAGAAATAAATGAAATAGAGACTGAAAAACAATAGGAACGATCAATGAAACTAAGAGCTGGTTCTTTGAAAAGATAAACAAAATTGATAAATCTTTAGCCAGACTCATCAAGAGAAAAAGAGAGAGGACCTAAATAAACAAAATCAGAAATGAAAAAGGAGAAGTTACAGATAAATACTTCAGAAATACAAAGGGTAATAAGAGATTACTATGAAAAATATACACCAATAAAGTGGACAACTTAGAAGAAATGGAAAATTCTTAGAAATGCATGATCTCCCAAGACTGAATCAGGAAGAAATAAAAAAATATGAATAGACAAATTAACAGTAGAGAAGCTGAATCAGTAATTTTAAAACTCCCAACTAACAAAAGTGAAGAATCAGGCAGCTTCACAGGTGAACTTTACAAAACATTTAAAGAAGAGCTAACATCTAACCTTCTCAAATTATTCCAAAATACTCAAGAGGAAGGAACACTTCCAAATTCATTATATGAAGCCAGCATCACCCTGATATCAACATCAGACAAAGATAACACAAAAAAGTAAAATACAGGTCAATATCACTGATGAACATAGATGCAAAAATCCTGAACAAAATGCTAGCAAACCGAATTAGACAATACATTAATAGTACCATTCATTATGATCTAGTGGAATCTATCACAGGGTTGAAAGGGTGGTTCAATATCAGCAAATCAGTCAATGTGACACCCAAGTTAACAAATGAAGAATAAAAATTATAAGTTCATTCATTAGAGGTAGAAAAGTTTTTGGCAAAATTTAACATCCATTTATGATAAAAACTCTCAACAAGTGGATATAGAGAGAATGTACCTCAACATATAAAGGTCATATATGACAAGCCCACCACTAACATCATACTTAATGGTGAAATGCTGAAAGCATTTCCTCTAAGATCAGGAACAAGGCAAGGATGTCCACTTTTGCCCCTTTTATTCAACATAGTATTAGAAGTCCTAGACACAGCAATTAAACAAGGAAAATAAATAAAAGGAATCAAAATTGAAAAGGAACAAGTAAAGTTGTCACTGTTTGCTGATGACATGATATTATACATAGAGAATCCTAAAGACACCACCAATAAATATTCAAATTAATAAATTAATTCAGTAAAGGTGCAGCCTCCAAATTAATATACAATAATCTGTTCTGTTTCTATGTTATAGCAATGAACTATCATAAAGAGAAATTGAGAAAACAATCCTATTTAAAATCACATCAAAAAGAATAAAATCCCTAAGAATAAAGTTAACTAAGACAGTTTTGTACTCCAAAAACTAGAAAACTCTAATGAAGTAACTTTAAGATGACACAAACAGATGGAAAGATATACCATGATCACAAATTGGAAAAATTAATATTGTTATAATGATCATACTATCCAAGGAAATCTACAGATTAAATGCAATTTCTATTAAAATACCAATGGCATTTTTAAAAAATTTCATTTCATTTTACCCAGTAATTCTACTTCTGGGAAATCTACCCTAAAGAAATAATCAAGAAAGCAAAATAAAATTATCATACAGAAATGTTTATTAGTACCTTAATCATAATGGCAAAACAATCTAGACATCACCTAGGTTCCCAGCATTAGGGAGATGGTTAAAGTAATAATGGCACATTCAAAAAATGGAATAATAGGAAGCCACTATGATTATGTGACTGAAGACATTTTAATAACATGGGAAAATATTATTAATGTTTTCCATTAATATCAATGGAAAAAAGTAAGTTACAAAATTATCTAGAATCTGACTTCAATTATGTAGTGTAATAGTCATAAAAGAAATTCAACTGTTAACAGGTGTTATTTTTACATTGCGAATTAATGGTTGATTTGTATTTTTGTTTCTATGTCCTTCATGAACAAGGTTTAATTTTATAATCTGGAAAACCATGTTGCTTTCATTTTTAATATGATTCAAAGGTTATCTGTTAAAAATTCAAGGAGCATACAAAAAAATAATTTAACATTTCCTCAAAGTCTGCATTGTCATGGTGGAGAAAGAAGCAATCATTCATATGGAAAGAGCTCGAGGTCTCTTCCTTTCTAAAGCATTCTTGGGAGAGAATGGATGACCATGCCTGTGGTGGAGCTAGATTCATCAGAGGGCCTGAGGAGATTAATTTACTCAGCTCATGAGGCTGAGCAAGGAAAAACAGAAGGAGCACTTGCAGGACTTGAAGACACAGCCTTGAGGCATCATCCCTCACTCTACCTTGAACTCTAACCCTGAGCATGCCATTGATAATCTGCACATCAGGCACAGATGACATTTCTTGTTGTCATTGCTCTCAACTCTGACACCAGAGATCCTCTGACCTCACTGAGCAGGTGTCATGAAGGGTCAGGGTCTATGGTTTGCCTGGAGAGAAACAGTGGAGCCTGTGATGCCAGAGTCAAGGCAGCCAAAATCTGGCTCCTTGCCCAACCCACTGAAGAGTTTGACCCTGTATCTTGCCCCTAACCTTCTAAGTTCAAAGGGAAAGAGAAGGGCTGTGGAACATGTCATTTCTGTGTAAGCCAAAGCAAGAGAGCTGTCCTCTGGTGTTCCATCAGCTACTGAATGCTTGGGCTCATGCTGACTGTCAGGTCTCCCTTGAGCTCACACAAGTACCTGATGCAGTAAAAATACCAACTTCCCCTCTAATTTAGGGATAATCAAGACAGCGTTTGTAAGGCCGAAAAGGCACCAGGTTTCACTGCACATATAATCAGTTATACATCATGCTGTGAGTTTTCTAAGTTTAAGAGGGCTGATGTGAAGTTAAAAGAGCAAGTTAGTGCAGAAAGATTACAGGTACCTCACTTTCAGCAAACCAAATATCTAAAAACCAGAATAGCATAAGAGATAAATTTACAAAAGAATTCATTTCACTACCACTTTGAGTAATTGGTTTCCCTTCTACATTTAAAATATAAATTGATTCACCACAACTTATTTTACACACAACATATTAAGCACTTAAGAGTTGCATAAAGGGAACTTAAAAATTAGCATTTGGACATCACTGCAAAGAAAACATAGTTTTCTCTGATTTTAAAAGTGATCATTGACTACAGAACCTGCAAAAGACCTCAAATCAATTGCAAATCTCTATACAAAAGAATTCAGTAATTTGGGAATGATATTTTTTGAAGTTTTTCTCTTAGCTCCTTCTTTGGGCTTCTCATATTCATTTATCTCAGCAAGGCCATCAAAAGAACCCATTTTAAAATCACAGTGGTAGGTGTTTTAAACATACCTCCACATCCTAGGTAAACATTTAACACTTGTACACCCAGAGATATACACATTAGAGACCTAGGACACCCACCAAAAAGTCAATACAAATAGAGCTGTGCTCTAATGATCAATTTTCCATCATGCCACCTGAGGACACTTTCATTCCAGAACTGTAGCTCTAATGTGTGAAAATGCCAACACTTTCACTTTTAATCAGCTTCTGAAACCCTAGCCTGTTGGGTGCGGGAAAGAAAGAGCTTTCAATTGCCTTTAATTGCCTTTGCCAAGCATGTTTATCTGTAGATGTAGAGAGGCTAAAAACATTGACCTCACATGGCCAGAGAAGTTTAGAAAAACTCCTGGATCCTTAAGAACAGCATAGCTGCCTCTCATTTCTGAATGAGAACCCCTAGCAGCATAGAGAGAGCTGAATTAGAATCCTGAGTATTTTATGACTCTAATAAAATGCTTTTCACATCCAAATAATATTGGAGAGTTGTGTTGGGAGCAGAAAGCTCCTGAATATTCAGGAAAAATTGAAGATGAGAAAGTTGTCCTATGGGTACTTAAAACTGGAAGGTATCAAAAGGCTGTATAGCTGAATAGCAGGCCTGCAAGGATTCACAAAGCCCTAGCCAGGGGTTGGCCCCTTGGCCACATCCTGGGTATCCCCTTCAGGCTTTAAAGGCAAAAGAGAGAAGGAATATATGGAAAGAAGCAAAGTAGGAGTTGAATGGAAAATGTCAGGAAGATGAGTGGAGAAGGGAAAAATAAAAGAGAGAAATGAAGAAAAAAGGTAGGATGTATACATAAAGGAAGGGAGACTGGTGATGGGTGAAAAAGAGTAGAAAAAGAAAGAAATAGAAAAGAAAATCGTGAGATAAGATAAAATACCCCATCAACAACTGACTCAGCTGACTGTCAGTATAAATCCAGGGGTTCAGGTGGCCAATCTCCACCTTGAACCAGGCACTATCCAACCCTGAAGCTGCATAGCAATGCTATCTTCCTTTAAGGATTTTTTCCCCTTTTCCACAAAGGGCAAGCTCACCTATCGAAGGCCACAGCTGTCATGGAGTAGATACTGGCAAAGACAGCAGCAATGGGGAAGAAGTTGTGGAATTTGCAGTAGAACAGGCCATAGTACCACTCGTTGTGGACAGCATAAGTGAAGTTCACCACTGTATTGAATGCAGCCATGGAGGCCTCTGCGAAGGCCAGGTTCACCAGGAAATAGTTAGTAACTGTCCTCATTCTCTTGTGAGCCAAGATGATCCACATCACCACCACGTTGCCCACCACGGAGGTCACCACAATGACTGTGTAGGCAGCTGCCCAAAGGACAATTTGCCAGGCCGGCTGCACAAACTGGTTGGGCTCCGAGGTGTTGGTGGAGATGTTTGGGAAGAGGTCTGAGTCCACAGGGAGGACGTTATCCATTTTTCTGCTAAGCGATTAAACCTTCCTCTCTGTACACACACACAAATCCTTTGCAGCAGGGTCCTGAGCCAGCGCCTGGGGTCAGAGTCCTGTTTAACCAAGACAGGAGGGCTGCAGGCTCTTTCTAGACAGAACTCTTTCCTTGTAAGCAGAAGACTTGACGCTAAGATAAAAGCTTCTAGATGTGCTGTATACCCTTGGTGGCTTTGAATTCCTCCACTTTTGAGCTTCAGAAAGCACTTGAGTTCTGTAATCTGGAGACAGCGTCTCTCCTGCGTTGAGCTGGAAAAGAGAAAGAAATTCCAGGGGTCGCGGTTCCAGGAGGCAGAGATTCTCCACCTTACTGCACCTGCTGCTGCTTGCAACTGCTATTCCTCCTATCTGCAGCGGGAAAGGCAAAGTCCTGTGCTGCGTGAGGACTTCGGGGCGAAGGTGGGCGTGGGAGGTATTAGTCACAGCACGACCTGTCAAAGTTCAGAGCCTGTGGCAGGAATTCTGGGGCCCTGCGTCCAGCTGGAGATTTTTTCCTTTGCTTTCACTACAGCCGCCGCCGCCACCGTCTGCAGCTTTGCAGGCGCCTCTTGGCTCGGGTCCTGCTCGGCTCGGGAGTTAGCAGAACCTTGGCAGGCTGCGCGTGAGGTCTTTATAACCCACTGTAAAGACGTCACTGGGAAGGGGCAGTACCTGGCTACGTGCTCGCCAGTCCCCTTGCGCAGAGCTGCAGCTGCATCATCTGTTAACAACAGTCTCACTGCACCATCTCAGCCACTAAGCTTTTTGCTGCTACCTGCTATGAGAGTCTGCAAGCCGGGTTCCCCACGCACTCCTCGAGGGGGCGCTAGCTATGTCCCCTCGGAGTAACTGCGCCAGATGGGGTCCGCAGCTGGAACCCCAGATGAACCAAGGGGAAAGGAAGGATTCGCGAAAGAGCTGTAGCGATGGACGCTCAACATCCAGGGAGGTCAGGAATGCTGCCATAGCTCTGCAGAGGCCCCTGCTTCTGGAGGTCGGAGTTGGCCAAGTGTGGGGGCGACGTGCCAGCGCTCGCTCCGGGCCTCGCTCCAGCCCGAAACGCTCCCAAAACACCTAGTTCCTTTCCCTAGCAGGCCGATTCCCCTGGGAAGCAGTGATAGGTTCTAAGCTTTGGGGACACCTTCCCCAGCCACCCTTGTCCCATGAAAATCTCCAGTAGCGCTCTCCAGATGAGGCCCCTGCGCAGGCGGTGGGGACTGGGCTGAGCTCCCTGCGAAGGGGTATGCCTCCCAGGCACGCATCTCTGGGCTCTCTGCCAGCAACCACTGCGGCCTCGCGTTGGCCGTCCCGAGACCAGCAGCCTCTGTCTCCGCGCCTCTCCGGCCTGTGGGCCAGAGCCGGTCCCGGGGTGGCGTCGGGGGCTCTTCCTCCTCTCCCCACCAGGCTGCCAGGTTTGCATAAATACTGGAGGGTATGTCTGCTCGTCTTATCTCCCCACCCCAGACCCGCCCCTGGCGGGCTTCGAGGCCTCGTCTCCTAGTCCAAGACCATTTCAAATGGCCAAGCTGGTACAGGGCGCTGGGAGAAGCTGGGAGGGGCTCGCCAGTAGGTGCCAACCGTTTCGCAGAAACCGAGGTGGACTGAGGTTCTGAGGGCGTTCCAGCCAGACGCCCTGGGAGATGAGGTTCCGTGGGCACTCGAGTCTTCCGAGCCTTTCTGGGGGCCATCTACCCCTCTGCCCGATACCACACCTTTCACTGCGGGGACTCGGAACTGTGGGATGTGGGCTGAGATGGGCGCGGAAGCTCGGGTTTGAGTAAGCCGGCACTCTACTGGGAGCCGAGTTTATGCACTCGTTCTGCCTGGCTGAGCGCTTCTCCTGCGAGGGAGAAAAGTATCTCCAGGGAAGCGCTTTAATGTTCAGAAAGGTTTTTGTTTGTTTGTTTTTAACATCTTTATTGGAGTGTAATTGCTCCACAATGGTGTGTTAGTTTCTGCTTTACAACAAAGTGAATCAGTTATACATATACACATGTTCCCACATCTCTTCCCTCCTCCGTCTCCCTCCTGCCACCCTCCCTATCCCACCTCTCCAGGCGGTCACAAAGCACCGAGCTGATCTCCCTGTGCTATGCGGCTGCTTCCCACTAGCTATCTACCTTACGTTTGGTAGTGTATATATGTCCATGCCTCTCTCTCGCTTTGTCACAGCTTACACTTTCCCCTGCCCATATTCTCAAGTCCATTCTCTAGTAGGTCTGTGTCCTTATTCCTGTCTTGGATTTAAGCTGGGCTAAAATCCGATGCTTTCGGGGAATCTGCTAGTTCACTCTGCTTTTGTCGAATCCTGGAATTTCAGCGTTTATATGAATCGCATGTTGCACTGCCTGGTCCTCCAAGCACCCTTAAACCCTGAAAAGAAAACTCCAGTGATACCTTGAAGAGAACAGTGCTCACCCTGCCCCATCCCGCCCCACCCCACCCCATTTAGAGAGGCAGCAAAGGAGAGCCTTCTTGTGGAAGGGAACACCTTCTCTTCCACTCTGGATCTCTCACTTCTGCTTCCACCACCTCGCAGAGCTGACAGAGAGTGTGAGTATGTATGTATGTGTCCACCTTTAATTTTTCCTCCCAAGCTGTCTTAAGGCTATCTTTCCCTCTTTCTCCCTGTCTGGTGGAGACAGCCTGACTTTTTCTAAAGGAATTTTACTCAATGCTTGGGGGTGGGGTGGGGAGAAAGAGAATAAATCCTAAGTAAATAATAAAAGCTAAATATAAATAAATTTAAAATAAATGCTAAAAAATCAGGATTTATCTATTAATCCTCCATTAGTGGGGCAAGATGATAATTTGAACCAGGTACTACTGTGCTGTGGATATAGCCTAGAAAACATTTACAGTATAGTGACAGAGAAAGAGAAAATTACCTACACAAAATGGGCAGTATTATGATGAGCAAAGGTATTAGGCCTGATAAGAGAAGAGGGAGGCATTAATCTAGACAATGAGGGGAACCAGGGAAGAGTGTAGAAAATCATATCTGTGGATTTGAATGTTAAGCCTGAAGAATGTTAAGGATGAGAGAAGGCTGAGGGTGAAAGGGAGGAGAATATCCCATATATACATTTCATATGTCAAATCATGTCACCCTGCTTAAAGTCCCACAAGGTCCAGCTAACTCAGAAGAACACCTACATTTCTTTGGCCTTCAAGAGTCTGCATTCCTGGCCCCGAAGAGTAGGTGAGGCTGGCTTAGGTGGCTCCTTCCTCTTCCTGGATCCTCATGGCTGGTAGCCATGTCCTAAGTATGTATGACTTGCTGAAGTTAATTTCTTTCCCACAAAAAAAACAAAGCATATTCATGATAGTTTCACATTAATAAAATGACTCAGCCATACAGTAGCAAAAGTTGTCCTTAATTTGCACACACACACACACACACGCACACACACACCTTATAAGCAGGGACTTGCTCTGGCATCACTCCTTCCCCACACAGGGAATAACTTTGTTTGCAAAATTTTATCAGTAAGATCCTATATATGCTTTTTTTCTCCAAGAGTTGATATTTGTTTCCTTAGCTCTCCTTTCTACTGAACTTCCTCCTTGGCACACAACACAGACCCACCGGGCTCAAAGAAAATTCTGACAACCTAGTATAAATTCTTTCTTATTTGTCCAGGTCCTTTAATAGTATAGGCAGAAATACAAACACAATAGCCATACATTTACACATATAGGATTTTCACTATCATCTGAATTTTGTTTTTCTCACTCAAAATATTGTTTGGATGCTTCAGAGACAACAGGTAGATTTAACTCATTCTTTTCAATGGCTAAATATTATTCTTGTGGTATAGATGTATCATAATTTATACACTCTCTTCCCTATTTGTATTAAAATTCACTTTGCTTCCAGTTTTTGCTGCTAAAGACAATGCTACTATAAACATTTTTATGTCTCCACAGTCCAATGCTTTATTTCAATGAGATAGATTCCAAGTGGAATTGCTAGTGGATTGTATTTATATTCATGTGCATATATGTATATGGGTTGTATGTTTCTATTTTATGTTGCCAGATTGCCTTCTAAAAGGGTATAACACTATAACATTTCACTAGTGATTAATTTACCATTTTCCCCACATCACCTACAGTAATAGATATTAAGGTTTTTTTTAGTTTTGTCAGTCTAAAATATGTAAAATACGTTAACATTGTTAATACATAGTTTTTATTTTCCTAACAGCTAGAGAATTTGGACTTCTTTTAATATTTTTTGGCTATGTGGATTTTCCCTTCTATAAATTGTCTATTCATACCCCTTTGTCCCTTTTTCTGTTGGATTGCTTTCTGGTCATTTTTTTCTAGGTGCTCTTTGTATGTTATAGGTATAAACACTTTGCATGTCATGAATATTTCAAATATTTTTTCTAGTGTTATTATTTATCTCTTGAATTTATGTATTTTCCATAAAAATGTAAACAATTTTTAAGTAGTCTGTATTTGCTTTAATAGCTTTTGGGGTTTTTATGTTCTGGTTTAAAAGAACCTCCCCAAATCCTGGCTTTTTTCACATTGTTTCCTAGATTTTCTTTTCAGTTTCTTACTGTTTCTTTTTTTTACATTTAGGTCTTTAATTCACCTCGAGTTTGCTATTTTGTATTATGTAAAATACTTTTTTCATGTAGTTTGCTCATTTTCACAGCTCTATCCACTTTCATAGTGAATTAACTCATTATCCTTGTCATAGAATAAATTTTTGAATATATGTGATTTAATATTTATATTCTCCAGTCTTTCCCACTGATCTATTTATCTATTTCTATAGCAACATTATACATATAATTCATATGAGCTCTTACTTTTCCTAGCCCACTTGCAATGAGGCAGAGCCAACTAATTCAGCCAACAGGTTGTTAGTGGAAATGAAATGATATGTATCACTTCCAGGCTAAAGCATAGAAGTGTGTGTGTGTGTGTGTGGGCAGGGGAGGGAGTAAAAGAAAGAGAGTGAGAGAGAGAGAGACTTCTCCATATATTGTCTCCTGCCAAGTCGCAAATGATGCAGCTACAAGAGGACAGGTCCCAATCATCTGGAATTCCGGAGTGACTGCATAACACAGGCCCCTGCCAGATCATTATGGACATG